CCTCCCCCTCCCCGCCGACTCCCTCCGTGGCTTCTCCCGTGGGCGCCTCCCGGCGGGGCTGCTCAGCCCCCCCCGGGACTTTCGCGTCCAGGCTGAGCCGGAACCCCGAGCTGTGTGTCCCTCCGCTCCCCACGTCCCTTGATCTCGCTTTGGAACCGTGTCCCTGGTGGACGCAGTAAAAGGTCCCTGGATAGTGGAGCTGGGGGGTAGAGGGGCGGCCGTGGCTGGCGCCCAGAGGCAAGTGTAGGATAAGCCCCCCAGCTTGTCCTCTGGCTGGGGCGTCACTGTTAGCCAGCAGGGGCGGCTGGGTGAGGAGGCAGGTGCACAGGGGTGTGAGAGAGGGGCTCGGAGGGATCATACCCAGTTTGGATATTTTGCACACTGCGGTTGAGTAGAAAGGCCCCACCCCACGTGAGCTGTTTGAAGCAAGGAAGACTGGGGTCTCAGATGAGCTACCGCAGCCCTAACAGCTTGGGAGCTCTTTCTCCAGGACTGGGCAGCGGCTGTGGTGCCCCCGAAGAAATCTGCAGCTTCCCCCACTTTCCCCCACTTTCCAAGGGCCATTTCCTACTTGAGGCCCTTGGCTGTAGAAATGTCTCTCCAGGAGTCCCACACAGAACTCTGACACAGAACCTTGACTCCCCAGCCCAAGAGGGTGAAAACTTCTTGATTGGTGAGGAAGAGGCAATGAGGGTAATGATTCCCTCACCTTCTGGGTCAGCCTGGAAAAGTCTGAGTCAAGGATGCTACCCTTGCCAGGACTGCAGGGAACTTAACTGGGCTAGGGTCAGAGTGGGAAGAAGGGCTCTACCCACCAGTGGCTTCACCCTCTCTGCCACTGGAAGTCTGTTCTTGGTGACTTCTGATAACACCCGCTTTTTCATTCCCAGACCCACCTGAGATCCTTGGCTCTAGAAGTTGTCAGCCTGCAGAGTAGAGTCTTCCACGGCTTTGTGTCCGAGTGACCCAAGAGGAGGTCAAGTGACCATTCCCCTCCTCTCATAAGACTAAGGGAGACAGGCCTACCTGGCACAAGTGTGGAATGGGCTGCGAACATGGGGTGTCAAGAAAAATTATCCAACCTGGAAGTAAGGTGAAGGGGGAGCAGGGTGGGGGGGAGGAGACCTTCTGTCAATAACATACTGGAGACACTGTTGGACAGGCCTGGCCAAGGGTTAATAATCCAGGGTAGAAGTCAGCAAACTACAAGGGTCTGGGGACCGACTCCAGCCTGCCACCTGTTCCTGTAAGTAGTTTTATTGGAACACACCATGCATAGTCTGTGGTTTTGTGCTACACGCGGAGTAGTAGTGACCGAGAGCCGCAAGCCAGGTCCTTTACAGGAAAAGTTTGCAGATCCTAATCTTAGGGCCTGTGCCTGTGTTTGACTTTGCTGTTTATTGTTTGATTAGAGCCCATACACTGAAGTTACTCATTAACTTGTAGGTTTCTGTCTAGAGTAGAAAACGCCATTAGCCAGTTTTCTATCTAACATCACAATCTTATTCTAGCATACTTCTCTCAAAATGCTTACAAATACACGTACCCTGCTTCTCCAAATGCTCTGTGAATCACTCCTCTTCAGAATTCATGTGTAATAGATCTTTGATGCATGTTCATTCTATATGTGTTAGAGTTATTTTTTTGCGTCCTTGAAAATTATGCTTGGGCTGGGCTCGGTGGCTCAGCCTGTCATCCCGCGCCTTTGGGAGGCTGAGGTGAGTGGATTG